TAGTTAGTTCTTATATTGTACTGTTACACTACTGTTGCAGGTTAGAGGGAGGGTTGGTTCCTTCAAAATAGTTTAACCCCGCCACATTATGTATGTTCCTGTCCCAAGTCAGGAGCCTGTAATTCAGTGGTTGTCGTTGGTTGCTGTATATCATATTTGTTTTTCGTTCGTTATTTTGTGCATAAATCAGGCCGTTAGTTTTCTTGGTTTTTTTACATTTGTCATTTCAGGGCCTTTTATAGCTGGCTATGCGGTATAGGTTTTGTTCATGGTTGAAGGCCGTACGTTGACCCTATAGTTGTTAACTTCTATGTCATTTGGTCTCTGGTGGGGAGTTGTCTCATTGGCAATTATGCCACATCTTATTACAATTGTTCATTGACTATGAATAAAATTCCACATATGCATTATACTAGCCAAAGTACACTAAGGCGATACATATCTCTGTGTCAACAGTTATACTCGCAGCGATGTAGGAAATCTCAATATAAAATTAGTAAGAAATAGCAAGTTATCCTTAAAAGTCAGATAGTATTTAGACAGCTAGATTATCGGAAAAAAGAACGATTTAAAGTAGTTCGTTGGTATATCTCGCGTGTACAGGCCTTGCCAAAATACGTAAACAAATTCCAATAAAATTGAGAATGGAAATGGGGAATGTGTCAAAGAGACAACAACCCGACCATAGAACAGACAATGTTTATATACTAGTATATATTCTTTTTTAGTGTTTTAGTTCTTTGAATAAAGTGCAGGGTAAGAAAGTGCACAATTAATGGTCGAAGAAATTCCGATAGTAAGACCACATATAATCTAGCAATGCTTGCATTGCATTTTATGCTTTGATTAAGCTCTGTGTCTAGTTGGAATGATTTCGCAGATATCTTTGGAGTTCGTACTATCAATGTTCTTAATGATGTATGTTGCATACTTTCGTTTAATTATATACTAGAACTTGTTCAGGTTTTTTCTTGTTCTATGATTTTCGACATTGGGTTCTCCTTGTTATACATAAGATTTATAATCGTTACTTTCATAAAGAAATATAAATTCTTGTTGGTAAACATTAAAAGTCAGACAGTTCTAGACCGATGTAGCCAGGAAACAAAGTCAATCATAATGCATTTGAATTTGTGATCCATGTTTAATGTCCTGACCACATTTTACAGTTTGCCAGCAAACAGTGGGTTTAATGATAGAGTACCTATATATCAAACGATATTACATACAGCAGCCAGAATGCTATCATAACACGTATCAATGGAATTTGATAGAAAGACTACCTACTACTCTGAACAGATGCTGTATATATATATAATCTGCTTAACGATTCTTCTTTTATTACATCTTAAAGTCGGTAATCTTTTGTGTTACGTAGAATTGATCATCTTTAAAGGTGGTCTTCGAGTGCTATTTTTCATGTTTTAGCAGGTGTCATTTTCAAAATTAGTTTTTGACACATCCGATTAAGAATCAATTAAGTAGAGTTTTATCTAATAATATTTATGAAAATAAATAATAAAAAGAGTTGAAATTGAGTTCATCGTGTCTACAGATAAGGACTTCCGATCATAAAAATATGTCTTTTTTGTATAAAGATATGTGATACTGTACATATTATCTACAACATTAATATTTCCTGTCTAAAATAGACAAATAATTTTTCACATCTAGAAACTTGCAAAAATGTTATTTTGATGGGAAGATAGGGTTTTCTAACAGACGTATTCTGGTTACTACGTATTTGTGTTGTTTGGTTGCTGTTTCATTGGTGTGTAATCCACAATCTTTTTTTTCAAATCAATATCCAATTCCTATGGATTATAGTTTACGTCATGTGCTGTACTGTGACTGTATAATTCGTTCTACATAACCCATTATATAATTCCGGCGGAAAAGATCTCATTTTAGAGTTAAAGTGGGAAGGGGCAAATTGTTGTGCAAGTAAAAGAGTTGCAGGTTGTAGATATAAAGAAACACTTTCTCGTTTCCGAACTTAAATTCCTGTGGTTAATTTCATTGAAAATAACTTCACGCCATTTGTTAAATTACCGTTGTTTAGGAAATTGTAAGCCAACCTCAACGTTTGATGTACACTTTAGAAAGATTAGATTTTAAAAAACTAAACTAAGAGAAAGACATGTTTATGGTAGCTTTGCTTTAAAGCCTTGTGAGATATTGCGCCCAACTGGTTTTTTTTCCGAGGCTGTCGACCACAGAAGGGTGCATACTAATATATTGATTAATTGGTGATTGCTTTACGCCGCATCAGCACAAAGAGGCTATATTGCGGCGATCATATAAGCTGGTCTACGTTAATACGGAATTTATAATCCACCATTGCACAATTATGCATGTTATTCTTTACATTTACATAACTTCGTAAATTATTGTGTGCCACTCTTTGTCTTTCTTTCTGTTTCCTCTTTTTCCCCAAATTGTTTACTTTACTCTAGTCTTTTTAGATAAAAAGTGGTCTTGGGTTTCTTTTTTCAGAGACTTAAAAAAACCGAAGTAACAATTGACAAGACCAATCAATATAATACGTCAGTAGAAAAACACACGAAAACGGATAAAAAATATGAAGAGACATGAGTAGGTCACATAAACATAAAAACACACGAAAACGGACAAAAACCATTCAGAGACATGCGTAGGTCACATGTAAATAACAGACAAACTTGGCAAATACTTAGCAATAATGTCATGTAGAAATTAGACTACAACCGTACCAAGTTCGAATCTCACACTTTGAACGTTCTTTGTAGTAGTTAGAACTAAGCTCAAATACCTGTGTTTGGTTCTCTTATCAACAATAATAAATGCAACTACATCTTGTGCCCATCGAATAACTCTGATTTGCTATTGTCTTGATGTAGAACAGATTTTGACAAAACTTTCGGTTTAAGATTTTGCAATTTTTCGAAACCTAAGCTCCGTGAGTAGCAGTTGACCGGACGTTAAATCCAATTTCTCGTGTAGGATGAGTACCACTGCCTCTGCACATTTAAGACACCTTGCAAAAACTATCTGAGGTTCGTATGTAACCTGTTTCAATGCAGAATTTCTGTCCCTATCCCGCAGTTTCCTATTGCAGTTTTCATTGACCACCCTTTACTCCGGTTGATATACAATGGAAATTGCAGAACCTTACGATCGTATTAATAGTTAATTTGTTCTAGTCCTGAATATGCATGAACTATTTACCACTGGACTTGTAGCAAATAAAAACCAATCAGTCAATTTTTCGGTCTCTTAACGTTAAACAATACCTTGCAACAACTCTTTAGGTGTCCACTAAGCTGACATGATTGTTGCAAGGCAAAATATCTGCCCTAGCTAGCATTTTCCAATGGCAATTTTAATAGACCGCCCTTTACCCCGGTTGCCCTTTACTTCGGTTGATATACAATGTAAATTGCAGAACCTAACGATTGTATCAATAGTTAATTTGTTCTTGTCCTGATTATGCATGATCTATTTGCCACCCAACGTTAAGCAAGCAACAATCAATCAGTTTACCTCAGTTGACCTTATTTCTGCATGTTAAATAAACAACAATCAATCAATAAAATTTTCACAAATGGATATTGGGTTCTTAACGTTTTGATCTAGAATGAAGTTTATGGATTGTTTTTTTTTCGAGAAAAAAAACCACGTGTCGTGCACAGACATCAGTATCATGATGGACTGTTGTTTGCTTAGTGTCCAGTGGCAAATATTTCATTCATTTTAGATCGAATAATCGGTATCATCCTTTTATATCATTGGAAAAAGATAAGTTCACATTTTTATGGCAAGTAAGGCTGAAAAACGAATACTTAAAAGGTGTACCATTCATGAGTGTTGGCTTATTATAACCCAGTGAAGAACCTTTTCTTAATGTTTATATTTTTCTGGCTTTACCGTCTCCTTGAATGACGGAGGAGTTGATTAGAATTCGTTTTTTCTAATTTCTCTACATTTAAAAACAAGGAGATATGGTTATGGGACGTCTATCCACCAGAGAACAAAGGTCGAGGACGGAAGCAATCATATTCAGACTAGGGAAAGGGGTAGACTTACAACTTATCTTAGTGTATGGATATTAACTCATTTAGAAAACCTTGTGTTGATCTCTTGATGTCCTTTATTATAAATTGCGTTGGTCGGATGTTGTCTCATAGAAGTTTATCCCGCATGTTCATTTATTCATAAAGCTTCATTTTTTTACAGACTCGTGTCTATATTGTCAAAGACTTGTAATTGCCTGTTTGTAGAAACTAATGTATCTGATGAAAAAATGGATACGAAAGCCCGTCAGGTCAGTAGGAAAATATTACTTCTTTAAAAGTCCCTGTTTTATTCGCGTGATTAAGAGCTTTGGCATATTTTGTAGATACTACCTCTAACTGTCTTTTTTTTACATATACCCAACCTCTTCTTTCTTTCATATTTTTAGACGCATCTAAGTTTGATAAATTTATATGCTGAAACAGTTATTATTCATACACTAATAAACAATTTCAAAACCACCTTTTAAATTACGCAAAGTATATACCATAACTCGTTATTAGACATTGATGAACAATGCTCAGTTTGCATTATAAATATTTTAAAAAAAATGTCAAACAGGACGTGACTGTCCGGCAGACTCGGTACATCTTAACATTTTCCATTACCAGGCCTTTTATAGATAGCTATGCGGTATGGGTTTTGGTTATTGTTGAAAGCCGTACGGTGACCTAGAGTTGCTATAACTTCTACGTCATTTGGTCTCTGATGGAAAGATGTCTCATTGGCAATCATACCGCATCTTCTTATTTTATATTACAAAGTTTCAAGGCCAGAATATCAGCGTTCCCCTAAAAATAGAATCTTAGTATACTAACAATAATATCGCATGTCATGAAATTGAAAATTCAGGAAAGATGTAAACTTTAACATTCATCAAGACATCTAGATTGTCATATTGATAATTGTTAATGTAACCAGAAAATAAAGAAAGACAATCCGAAATATATACTATCTCTTTGATTTTAATATCTATTTTTTTTATTATTGATTTTATACTATATGATATGTTTTTATCATGTTTATGTTTATTTATAAAATACATTGCGTAAACATGAAAAAATAATAACTATAAAATAAAGTGATACAATAAACCTTTCAAAATAGTGATTTGTGTAGTACTGTAAAAATAGCACGATTTAATGCTAGAAAGATTAGATAACTACTATTTGTAACCCCAATGTGTTTGTCGAAAAGTGTTTTAATAATATCCTACTTGATATTTTGGTTCAATTCCAATCAATAAAAACAATGCTAAACGTAAAAATGAGCGATAGGCATTGACTAATTCACGAATCCCCTGTATCGAACCCCTTAAGTGCATGTTCATCAACACGAGAATAGAAACAATCCGTTTTATGACACATTATGAATAATATAAATATGATGAGTCAATGTTATCACAGTTACTATAAATATGACCTATTTCAAGGTAGTTTCTTATTATCACCTAGTTACTAGTATTGAATTCCTTCTGCTAATTATAAAGTGTGTGCTGAATTGCGTTTTGAGCATGAAGCACAGGTTTTTGACTCCAACAAGATATTTATAAAAGTTGCAATTGAAGCAAAAGCACACTAATAAAAAGAAACTACAATGAAACCGATCATTTACAAAGTTATGGTAATGTATAATATAATTTATCTACATGTGCTTATATTTGTAAATTCAGAAACTATGTTATGTGCATATAGATATTCAAAAATATTTTTGGGTTAGTCCGGTTTGGGAAACTTCCTCACGTTTTCATCTTCAATTATTTTGAACCAACAAATTTTATTAAGTAAACGAATGTTTCCTAATGGCTATGTTCTGTGTTGCAAATGGTTGTTTTGCGTCCAAGAATAAATAAGTATTCACCGGCGGTTCATATATGATATTCCGGTAAAACGAAAAAAATACTTTTCATTACCAAGTAATCAATTCTTTTTTTTATTTCTCTGCATAATATCTTCACCGATATATCTTAAGCAAGTCAACGATGAATGCTAACTGGTTACTTGTTCATGAAAGTATCGAAAACCAGAGTATCAACAGCGGTATTGTTATAAATCATAGGTTGTCGTATGTTGATGGTGGACGATCGTCTATGGTGGCGCTTACTTGTGACGAGGAGCTATCTGATGAAACAGGTCTCCCATCAGATGGGTCCTCTTTTGATCCTCTTCTTGGCGGTTTTTCGTTGTCATGTTCTATTGAGAAAATTCGCTGTCGCATATAAACAAATGCCTTCGATTTTGGTGGTTTAGGAGGCTTGACAGGTTCTGGGATTTGCGGCGGGGGCAGAGTAAACTTTTTATGTTGTCTTTTAGGTGAGGGTGGAGTCTTTTCTTCTTCTTGCTTTTTCTTCTTTGAAAACAGTTTTTGCATAAAACCAACATTGCTTTGCGCTTTTTTATCTTCAGATGTTTTGACTTTTCGCCTTGGAACGGGAGATTTTGAAGATGCTCGATTTGAAACCGTAGGAGGACTAGGAATTCTTAATGAGGACAAGTCAAGTACATCAGACGACTGTTCGGAAACAGCGGAAACATACGAATCTGCATCGGAGCTAGCCGACGATGCTCGGGATTCGGTAATTGCTGGCAAAGACGATTTCCCTTTACGTGTCCCAACTGGTGTTTTGGGACGATCCTGATTATCCTTAACGGGAAGTTTGCTACTCGGCGTTAAATTATGTTGTGCGGAAGTATTTTTCTTTGTGGCTTGTTGGTTAGGAACGGTTGCAATTCTACCAGGTGCTGAATTAAACCTTGGCATAGTTTTACGAGTTGAAGCACTACTTTGACTCCCCATTTTTACTGTTGCTGATGCCTGCCGTGGTAGACTTTTTGACTTTAAGTCTTCTGGGCTAGGATCCGGTGGAGCTAATTTTCCCTTCAATGATGTAATAGGTTGTGTTTTTCTACTTGATTGTTTTTCCTTTCCTTTTAATTTTGATTTAGTTGAAGTATCTTTAGCCAGGTCCATGACTTGTTTTTTCCGTATATCTTCGTTGTTCTTCAGGTCAACAATATTATCGCTTGAATTTCTCGTCCAAGGAGCATCTGGAGCTGTTTTATTTGTGGGACTTTGTAGACGGTCTGAAACATTTTTTAATCTAGATATACATTCGGCCATTTTGCCACCAGTTACAACGCTTTCTGTAGCCGTTGATGCATCTTTCAGATCTTGGTGAATCGTCATTGTCTCTTTATTAGCCTTATCGGGCATTGGTCTTTGGTTAAATACGGACTCAGCAATCTGACGTGTACTGCTAAAAGTACTTGTTGATTTGTCCGTTTTCGATATGTAAAATGTCATTGTACCTTTAGAAAACAAATGGCGGAGAGGAGTCGACGTTTCCTTTTCAAATGTAAGTTTTGGTAAGGTGTTTATCCCAACATCGACGAGGTTATCCCCCTTTTCTTCCCTTGTCATTTTGAATTTGTCATCATCCGAAAACAGAATATGGTCTAATATACCTGAAGATACTAATGTTTGTGTTGATATTTCTTCCTGAACAAGATCTTCCATCGAAGTACAATCATCCACCATTTCGACGTCGTTTTCAAATAATGTTAAAGAATCAATCGATGATCTCTTTCCAAATGCAGATTCTGGTATCAAATATAATTCGTCTCCTTCAAGTTCACTCAAAAGTCCAATATATGGTAAGGATTCAGTAGACGTCGACATTTCACAGCTCTCGATTTTTCTTTCGTGGTCAGGTATATATTCCTTGGAAGTAGATACAGATTTATCATAAAGAGCAACTGTAAATGTTTGTGTCATTTCATCCGAAACAGAAGATGACGAATGGCCAAATGACAGGGCCATTGTTCCAAAGTCTCGTTTATCAACGTTGATAGGTGTGGTTGAACGTTCAACGCTATTGACCAGTTCGTGTGGACTTATACTTGTTGCGTTTTCCGCCGTCGAAACATAACTTGTATTGGTCCCTGTATTCAGTATATCGGGTGATGGTGTGGCCGTCCAAACATCGTACGAATCTGGTTTACAAAGCCGAACCCAGTCGTCCACAGTCGAAACAGATGCGTCCATCAATATTTTGTTTTCCGTGTTCGTTTCATTAGTTTCGAAAACAATGTCAACTGTTGTTTGTGCATCCTGACATCTTATTTTATCTGTTAATGTTTCGTTGTCGTGTACAATAATGACAGTGTCAACCCCTACATCTTTATGGTGCACAACTTCTGTATATGTTGCTTGGTCCATAGATGTAATGTGATTTGTTTCGACACAGGAATCTACGTATAAAGGTCTTGGCGGAGATATACCCGTATTTATCATTACAGGTTTTGGAGTTTCGGTCCATTGGTCCATTGAAACAGGGACTGGTGTACCCGTTTCTTTATCACAGAGAACTAGTTCATTAGTCTCTGTGGAAGAGTCGACCATGCTTACTTGTAAAGATGAGGTAGACGAAAGACTTGTATTTGATCCCGACCCTTTCCCCTTGAATAATTTTGAAAAGAAACTGGCACCCCCATGCCAACTTTTTCGATTTTCTGATGCATCTTCCATTGCCTCAGTTTGAGATTTCTGGTTTCTGACATCAACTGGTCCTGTGTTTATATTTTTATCACATTGATCCGGTACGATCTGCACGCCTTGGTCACAGTTTATTGGATGACTCATGCCAGTTCCAATTTCTTTGGTTTCACAACCTTCAGTACAGACTGCACGTTCTGAAGTCTGTAAAACCTCAGTCCACGTTCCTGTTGTATTTTGAGTAACTAATGGCATGGTGGTCTCGTTGTCCACGAGTGTTATTTGAGGAGTTGTTGTTGATTGGTCAGTTTGTCCTGTATAGTCTGTTCCTGCAATTTTGCTTGATCTGTGTACTATTGGCGTTTGTGTAAGAATTGATGATGTTTCAATCACAGTTTGAGAAGAAAAAGTTCGTACAGCTGGCGGAGCTGTCAATGTACATTTTTCACTAGTTGGGACAACTGGTTTCATTTCACAAGTGGTCATTGTCGTTTTATGACGCATGCGCTTACGAGGTGGCTCTGCGACCGTAGATTTGGGTGTTTCAATGGTAATAGGATCAAGACCAATTGACCTGACTATTTTTTCGTCAATAACATCATCACAGGAGAAGCTTCGTGAAACAGGAGCAACATTGGTTGTAAATCCATGACTAATGGCAATATTTTCATTTGACAAAGATATGTCAGTTTGAACCCGTCGGCTTCTAATCATACTTCTACGCATTCGCCTCCATTCTTTGCCACTTTTATCTAAGCTGTTCATAAGAATAATTTCTTGGATTTTTGGTGCCTCTCCAAATTCAACGGGAGTTGGTTTGTCTTTTAGTTCTTCGCAGCAACTGACACATATTCCAGAACTTTGGGATCCTGCATCGGTTACAACTTGTAATGAACTATCGACCATTTTAACCTTATTTGTATTCTGGTCCTGATATCCATTAGAAAGTTGAGGATTTGTTCCTGTAAATTTATCACGGAACGTAAGGGGTTCTGTGTTAACTTCTTTCTGTGCAGACTTTGTAAATGTTGTTTGGGTTGATAAATGTTTAGATTCCTTTTGGTTTTGTTTCACAAAGTCACAGTCAATAGTCTCTGATTGGTCCGTTTGCGTTTCTGATGTGACAAGTTCTGCCGTTCGACAGGAATCAGACAAGTTTTCTTCAGAATTATTATTATTGACATTCAATGTTCCAAATGACACGGAACCTGGAACAAATCTTATCATTTGTGGCTGAAAGTCTGGAGGCACGACAGGTAATCCTGGATCCAACAATGAAGTCAACTTCTCTTCCATTTCTTTCTTAAGAAGAAGCATTTCGACTCCTCTATCAGCCATTACAATTTCCGCCAGGTTACATGCACTTTGTAGTCCGTCTGCATTTTCCTGTAGCCATTCCCTATTGTTCACAAAATTAATAGCATCTTCACTGAAGAATGATTCAACTTTTTTCAGCAATTCTTTTTCTGTTTGTCTTACTTGTTGTATGTAACTAATCGCTAAGTCTCGTATATTCTCGCGCGTTTCTTTTATTGTCTTTTCGCATTTATCTATCATTCCGATTCGTTCTGAAACATCATCCAGACGCTTTTTACATTTGTCCAACAAAGTTTCCATAGAATTTTTATATCGTGAATATCCATCTGTGAAAGAACAAATTTCGTGGTCTCTGTGTTCTTGAAATGTGCAGACGACACATATACACGTGTCACAAGGGTCACAATAAAATCGGACTATTTCCTCTGGATGTTCTTTACATTCAATATCTTTTTGACCTTCAATGTCAATTAAAGTATGATCGTGAGTGACCTTAGTAGTTGAATGAAGTTTTACACAACTTTTACATAGCAGTTTTGAACAGTCAAGACATTTTGATGATGCGTTATTGCCTCGATTACCGGATGGACATATTTCGCATGGTGGTACTGTCGACGGTCGTCGTCGATCTATTATTTCTGTAAGATTCGAAAGAAGAAAGTTATCCGGAAGACGTCGTATACTTCCAGACGGGAGCTCTGTCTTTTTTCTACAAAGAGGGCATGTTATGTTACGATTATAAATAGCAAAACGAGATCGGGAACTTTCTGCATCTAAATGTTGCTGTAGGCAGTCAAAGCAAAATGTATGAAGACATGACAAAGTTTTGGGATTTTTAAATGGTTCCAAACAAATTTTGCAGGATAGAAATTGGTCAGATATTTCTTTCATAAGCTTATGATTTTTCGCCATGGTTAGATTGCTGTAATTTGTACGATATGAAAATGTAGGCTTTAACAACACACGTTTTAAACAAAACCTGTTAAATGATAACAACGGCGTATGTTGCCAACACTGTAATATAAATTTACGGATTGAAAACGTATGTTTTAAAACAAGTATGTGTATAATCTGTAACAACGAATTGTTGCTGCTATTGAATTCTGGGACTAGCACTATCGAATGCAGAAGATTATCCAAAATCCCCAATATAATCCAAGTGGTGCATGATTATTTATTTTGACGTCATAGTCACAGCAGGTATTCTTGTTCTTTATTTTGATTCCTGATTATATAAAGAAATTTTTTATCATTACAAATATCTTTAGAGTAAACGAAGAAATCTACATGACTTATGACTTTTCATTTGCTCTGATTGGAGTTCGCTGTTTGATAAGTCGCCTTCCTTATGTTTTTCGTGATTCCTATCACCCGTATGTTCAATGTTCTGAAGAAATTTTATCTCTTTAATTTATTTTGAAGTGATCCTTGTTATATAAATTTGGCGTGCGATGAGCGGAAATCTGTAACAATCTATAACTTCTTCTAAGATAATAAATCTGAAATCAGACAAAATAAAAAAATTGATAACATATTTACCGAAATAAGAGAATACTAGTCTGAGAATAAGATAGATATTTTTTTCAATACTCTTTTCTTCCAATATCACCTGCTTTCTAGAAGTTACACGGTTTTTGTCATTTCTCATATTTCTGGTGCGAATTTAAGTTTAAACGAACAATTTGTCATTATAATTATGTTTCCTTTGTGGAAATCTGGTTTACAATTATTATGGTCTCTAAACGCCGATATCAAAAGGGAGAGTTTTTTAAATCCGCCACTTATTCATATGCCTGTCCAAAATCATATCTTTATATTTTGCCATTTGAAGAATTTTGTGTTGAATGCAGATCGTTGATAGTTTTTTTTTATTTATTTACAACTTTCTAAAGCTTGGTATATTGTATGAAAACCTGTTCATTGTTAGGTGACCGTATGCTGCCGTCCAGATATATTTTAGTAATATTTGTCGTTGGTTTGCTGTCTTATTGACGTATAGCCACATATCCTTTTATTCATTATGCAAATAAAAATGACAGTCTTTCTTATTGGGAAAATCATAACGATATTGTTTTATAATTGTTTTTTTTTTCGTGTACGCATTATTTCCACGAACAGAGAGTGCGTGTTGCCTTAAAACTGAACTCTTGATCACTAACAAATTAAAAGGGGACGGATATTTTCAATGGTTCACGTTTGACCTTTTGCTTTTGTGCGTTAAATCCAGATTTAATGTCTGTCATATTGAAACTACCATAAATTTGCACTGTGCAATTGACGAATAGATACAACAGAACTTTATTTTACATGTAATGATTTGTGAATATATAACATGTAGAAGATATTAGGAATTATCAAAATTATTGGGCAGTACATCAAACCACAACAACCCGACTCCTCCGAGAAGAAATAGGCACACTTTTATGAGGCGCCGTTTTACTATTTATTCCTTATTTTCTGATATCAAAAAATATTTCTTGATATCAAAAAATTGAATTCCTGATATCAAAAAATGATTTTTTGATATCAGGAAATATTTCTTGATATCAAGAATTCGATTTCTTGATATCAGAAAATATTCTTTATTTCTTGATATCAAGAAATCGATTTTCTGATATCAAAAAATAGAATTTTTGATATCAGAAAATCATTTTTTGATATCAGAAAATAGGTAATAAATAGTAAAACGGCGCCTCATACACATTAAGGCAAACAACAAAGAAAAACGCACGGTCTAGAAAGGCTGACTTTATTTGATACGAGTAAAAATGTCAGATTACTTTTGTGCTGTTTTATGTACCAAGTCAGGAACATGACAGTTGATTTCCATTCCTTTGATGTGTTTCAGCTTTTGATTTTGCCATTTGTTAAGGGACTTTCCGTTTTGAAATTTCCTTGGAGTACGGTATTTTTTTTACCACACTTATACTCGAGATATTTGAAAATATGTCCGATAATGTAATGCATAACCCGTAATTGAACTTCTAATCTTTCTTTGGTATCACGTTAGTATCCATGAGTACATGTACTTTAACTATCAAAAAAATTGTTGATTTTATTTTACTCCGAACTAACACTATAAAGATATTTAAACGTGATTACAAAATATATTATCATAAGTTTCTAAAACTATACGTTGAATTATTTCTGAAGAAATAAAAATAAAAACTATGCTGAGTTTTTAATTATCTCTGTACTGCATGCGAGGTTGAACATTTTAACAAGTTGCGTAGATTTCATAATTATAGCCTTATCTTTTTTAAATTAAGTGTTTAAACATAATACTTTCATGTCAAGTTACAGATGATATCACAGATTTTTGGAAAGATTTTCGTACAAATTCAGCTAAAACAAAATCAAAAAAATATCTTTTAAAAAATTCCCCCACTCCCCAAAAAACTGTTTATTGTTGCTTGATTTACCGTTTAGTTGATGTATTATAATCATAGGGTCACCAGTAGAATTTATGATCGTGAAATCTCGCCTTCGAAGGCGAAACCGTTGTCGGTTTCATCAACATTTAGGTTAATATATAAGTCTGTGGTGAAAATGTTTTAAGACACTCTTTTCATTTTCATATTTTTATACTATAATTGACATAGTTTGGATTTCTTCAAATTTATTTATTTTCATTTTTAATAAAACTGAGAATGGAAATGGAGAATATGTCAAAGAGACAACAACCCGACCAAAGAGCAGACAACAACCGAAGGCCACCAATGGGTCTTCAACGCAGTTCACGTTTTATGAATTTGGTGCGTCCGATTAGCTTTTTTTGGCTTATCATTATCAGGAACGCTCAAACAGAAAATAATGAAAGTCAATGATATATAAACACTTGAGTACTTGCGGAGCTAATTTTCGTTTTTATGCCCCACCTACGATAGTAGAGGGGCATTATGTTTTTCGGTCTGTGCGTCCGTTCGTCCGTCTGTCCCGCTTCAGGTTGAAGTTTTTGGTCAAGGTAGTTTTTGATGAAGTTGAAGTCCAATCAACTTGAAACTTAGTACAAATGTTCCCTATGATATGATCTTTCTAATTTTAATGCCAAATTAGAGTTTTGATCCCAATTTCAATGTCCACTGCACATAGTAAATGATAGTGCGAGCGGGGCATCCGTGTACTATGGACACATTCTTGTTGGGGATATTCAACCATAACTACGGTTTAAATGATGAATGCACACATCGAAGTCATTGACCCTATTATCATTTCTCATTCTTTAAATAGAAATGGTTTGGCAACAACATATCGATTTTTTATTTTTTATTTTTTGGTTTAATCTGATAATTTTTAGAAAAAAAATTCTGTTTATCGGTAAAAAATAAAACAACCAAAACGTCATAAATCTATGGTTGATTGAAGGATAACAAAGAGTGTTGGTTGTTCTTTACCCAAGTAGCAAAAAAATGAATGAGATACCTGGATATGATGTGAAAAGGATTCAGACTGGGCATAGAAGTGGAACGAATTTTAAACTTCTTCGGGAAATTTAATAAAATTTCAATCAACACGAATGCACAAGATATAATCTGCATCTTGTATCTATTTTAGCCATTATTTGTTTCAAAATGACAGTGAAAAGATGTGGCACTTCATCCCTCTTTTAACTTATACGGGAAATATCTGGAGAGTTGGGAAGGGCGGAACTTTAGCCTCGCTTTGTCTCTTAATGATCGTACTCGTAACGAATGATGCTGGGGTCGACTCTTTTTTACTAATTAATTCAGATTTTTTAAATTACTTTAGCATACATTCATAACGAATGCAACTCAGACTATTGATAAACGTAATAACATTAAAATTCAGTTTACAAAATCACCAGATAATATCTTTCTCTCTGTGTCTATTTAATCTTTGATGGGTTTTTTTCAGACATCAATTTATTTGTTTCAAAATGTCTGGAAAAGAAATGAAACTACTTCTTTGAAAGAGAATTGCTATGCGATATAACTTCCTTAATGTACAAAAGTCTATTTGTATCTGAAACTGGAGCAGTTTGTTACGAAATCCGTAACGATACCTCGCGGGCCACTTCATTACTTCATTGATAGGGGTGCCGCTGGGGTTCTGTTACCCCACCCTTTTCACATAATTTACATTTTAAAAATGTATACCTTTTCATATATTGCGTAGGTAAAAATGTGTGTGACCTTTTCCCATATTGGTTGGGTTTCGTGTGATATGTTGGAAAAGTGGAATACCAAAGTGTTAAAAGAGGAAAAAAATTGTGGATAAAAACACAGCCGGGAACACAAGTAAGATGACTTTCGGCTGTGAAAAAAATTACAGGGCTTTTTATATAACAAGTAATGGGAACTTTATTGACCTTATTATATATTTCTGATAGTTCTCCCCACCTATTCACATATTTTAAGCTGGAAAATGTGACCTATTCCAGCGACACGTCCTATCACCTTGTATATAGGAAGTGGCTCCCCGAGAATTATACTGATTCAACATATATCAAATAAACGATTTATGGTTTGACAATGTAACAAAGTTGGACCTGGAAGGGGAGCTACATGTATACTGCGCTAAATACTACAAAAAAAACAAGGGTTGAGATCTCACTAACATGTTTAACCCCACCACATGTTTGCGCCTGTCCCAAGTCAGGAGCATCTGGCCTTTGTTGGTCTTGTATGTTTTTTTTTAATTTTAGTTCATTTATATATTTAGGAGTTTAGTATGACGTCCATTTTTACTGAACTAGTACACATTTTTGTTAAGGGGCCAGCTGAAGTCCGCCTCTGGGTGAGGGATTTTCTCGCTGTGTTGAAGACCCATTGGTGACCTTCGGCTGTTGTTTTTACTCTTTGGTCGGGTTGTTGTCTCTTTGACACATTCCCCATTTCCATTCTCTATTTTAATACTTAAGAAAATAAATGTATATGCCATAAAAAAAAAAAGAAAAAAAAAGAGTGACATGAAGTTAATTCTCCTCAATGGAGGTAAAAAAAAGCACAAACAGGAGATTATTTACTCCGAGAGAAAAATATAAAATAATGTTTTGCATGACAACATCATGATTATCAGCGGAAGTAAAAAAAATATAACGTATTCGGCCTTTTCGCAAACACTGCTTCTTGTCGATGTATTTTGCTGATAAAAAAAACTTACATGCATTTGATACGTTTTATTATTCAAGCGTGGGAGTGAACAAGATAATTTGTAACATCTTTCTCCGCGTGAGAGCTTCATTACACTGGAATTTACAAGATTAGAGCGAGTTAACTTATCCTGAACTTGACATGACTTTGGCTAATATTTTTTCAAAACTTCCCGATCAATGAAAAAAATTGCTTCATCAACAAATTTTGTATGAAGAGTGGAAATCACGAAAAGCTTGATTTAACACAAAAGACAACACTCGATAGGGTTCAATTCTACAAATTGCAGGTTGTTGTTGCTATGGCAATAAGCACAACATAATCTGCTGATCATTATTTCCTCGTTTAACTGTCATTGTTTTATTGCATTAAACAGCGTAATTACA